AAGTTTAGTTTTTTTTTTTTCTGAGGTGCAGTTGATCATGTGCTTCTCTCTGCTCTCACAAGAGGATTGCTTATGGAAGATTACAAAATAGATAAGAGCTTTTGTTAAAAACCTAGTCACTTGACTAGGTAGCCTTTTGGAGTTTATGTACTTGGTGATGGGTACTGAATTCAGTAAGAGCACAGCAGCATTTTGTTACACAGTCAGAGGTCCTTGTTAATGCCTGGTAATGGAGATCATACTAGGTAAAGATTTAGAACTCAGATATGTAAGTTTCTTTTATCAGCTAACAAGCTGCTGTATGCCACTAATAAACGGTAAATGCATGTCAGTTTAGCCTTTGGCAAGTACCAGGGAGGTGAGGGGTTTTTTCCTTACATGCTAGACTAACCAGTCTCTTTTTCTAACTGCTACACTATAACAGCACCCACTGCTGACAACAGCATGCAGTTGCCTGACCAGAAGCAGGTTGTTCTTGTTCCTGAACTGTGTCAGTTACAAAAACCCCAACCCAACTAAAAAAAAGACCAACAACAAACCAGCCATCTGCTTGTACAGTACTTACTTCTTCCAAAAGGAAACCTGAATAAACGCTTGACAGAAGTCATGTTAGAAAACCAGCAGCTGTAACAAGGTTGCTCTAAGAATGCAATAATAAAAAATCTATTTTATGTAAATTTATATATCAGAAAAAGGTTAAAGATCTTGCTATAGAACACTACAAATTTTCAAGTCACCAGCATTTCTACAACATAGTATTTCACTGAATTTTAACTAAAGTATCATTAGATATCAAAAGGCATATGACATTCTTGCATGTTTTGGATATGTTAGATATTAATGTAGGCAATTTTCAGTTCTTCTGTATTCAAGTGATAGTATCAAAATCTAGAAGATATTTGTATAATGCTTTATTTATGGTTGCCTTTTTGAAAAGGGTCCATTAGTATATGTGCATGATGAATCTTTTCACCTTTGTGAATATATGGTTCATCTTAGTGTTTGATACCTGTGGAGTTTATATATTTGAAATGTATATCTCTAAAATTAATATTTTAATATTACAGATTTAGAAATGGCCATTGCCTACTGGAATCTAGTACTTAATGGAAGATTTAAATTTCTAGACTTGTGGAACAAATTTTTGTTGGTAAGTTTAAATCTTTACATAATACTGCCGTATTTTCAAAACTTGGAAGATACGTTTAAATTACTGAGTAGATGAAATAGACTATTTTGACCCACATCCCAGATGTTGCACTTTACATAGTGTATACAAACAAAATATGTTCTGGGAATATGAACGTGTCCAAGATAGTGAAGACAAGTGTGTATAAGGGGTTTTAATTTATTTATTTATTTTTTAAATATTAATTTCCCCCTCCTCCAAACAGGAACATCATAAAAGATCAATTCCTAAGGATACCTGGAACCTTCTTCTAGACTTTAGTACAATGATAGCAGATGATATGTCTAACTATGATGAGGAAGGTAAACATTTCCATTTTCTTTCATTAACTTCTGTGTTTTATACTACATTTATTACTGTGTATCTGCTTTGGCACACCTGTCTAATAGCAGCATAATTAAAGTATCACTGGTAATGTAATGTCTGGATAGAGCTACTTTAATGCATGTTATTATCATCTGTTTGTTACTGCAGGTTTAAAAAATAAATGCTGAAACTTTCTTAAATCCATTTTCTTTTTTTCTTCTGTCTGACCTCAGACTCTAATTCTTTCTTATTGAGGCAAACCTTGCTATTTTTTATTTAGAAAAATGCAGATTTTCTGTCAGCACAGTTCTTGGCATCTTCAACTAAGTAACCGATTCATGGCCTGTATGCTTTCTCGTAGGGTCTTCTGGCTATTGCATTTCTCAGCTGAGGATATTTTTTAAGTTTGATTGCTTCAGTTTATGTGAAGACACATAATAACGTAGAAGTTAAGGTGGCAGCATACAGGGATTGCTAAAGCTGTTATTTCCTACCATATGTGTTTCTTGTAAATTTTTGTATTGATCTTTCCTCTTCCAGCCGATCTGTAGCCAAGACCAGCTAATTACCTTCAGTCATTGGTGGCAGATCAGTTCAGTGAGTGGAAGAAGCTATAAACTTCTGACACTTCCAGAGCAGAGGGAGCAAGCTTCTGGAACTTTATTTCATAAATACAGGCTGTTCTCATTCCCTTATCATTGGGCAAATGGGCTCCTGTCCATGATAAATGAATAGCTGAGAAAGTGTAAACCAACCCACAATTTTTAACCTTCACATGACACTCATGCACATGGCTGGGGACATCTTTGGCTGCCTGTAATATGTAAAATATTGATGGGCATTTTAATTGCCTCTTGATAAGAAATACGAAAGAGTATATAGTGTAACACCAGCCTTCTAGGGCGTTATACTCGCTTGCTGCCTGTAGGAGAGCATTTTGCTGTTCTCAGGTATGCCTAAGTATGCCGATTCAAACAGATAAGCATTGCATTCATGCAGCACCATATTGTGCTGCAGGAAATGCATGTTATGATGTGCTGCTGCTTACAACATAGACTGACTGCTTCATCCAGTGTTCAGTATTTTTTTCAAGCATCTGCTGCCATCCTGGAGGTCAAGTTTGAGTTCTAGTGCTAAACCCAGGACAGTTTTAAGCTAGAATTTTTGTCAGGTTTTTTTCAGAAAGACAAAGGAATTTTGACCATCGAAAGGGATGTATATTAACTGGGTCCAGAGGAAGTAGAGGTCTTTAACCAGCTCTCAAATTTTAAGCAAGAAAAACAAACTACAGTGTTAATTGTTGTTGGGTTTGTTTTTTTTTTTCCTGAAAACTGTGCTTAGTTAAGACTGGGAAGTAAATAGCTTGTTTAGATCTGAAGCTTTAAAAATATTGCCTTGTTGAACCTAGTTCTTATGGTGTGGTGTTTTTTTCTTTTAGGGGCATGGCCAGTGCTTATTGATGACTTTGTGGAATTTGCACGCCCTCAAATTGCTGGGACAAAAAGTACGACAGTGTAGCACTAAAGGACCCTTCTAGAGTGTACATAGTCTGTACAAATACCTGAAATGGAAAATTGCACAGTCAATTTCTGCTGGCTGGACTGAACTGAAGATCAATCCTCACAGTATGGCTGAGGGTTGAGAGAAACCTTTAAGGATACATCTTGGACCATATCATATTTCATTCTTCTACCGGTGGTTTGGGCTTTTCTTCTAGTCTGGACCGCGCTTGCCCATTGAAATTCCAACATTGTGGATTTCATCATGGATTTTATTTTTTTTTTTTTTTTGGTGGGTTTTGGTTTTGTGGGCTTTTGTTTTTTTGGTGGACCACCCTGGTTTCATCTCCCATAAATCCTAGAAGCTTTATAATTATTTTGAGGTTTCTGGTTTCACATAAAGCACAATGCTGGTCATCATCAGGCAACTGTTGTATGGCATCTGAATTATACAGACCAACATCAAAACAATTTCTAAAAGCATCCTTAAATATACACTTGGGGCTAGTTGCAAAGACTTATTGATAGCACTTCCTGTAAGAGTGATATATTTAAGCGTACTGGGTCCGATAACTTTTTTTTCTGTTCTGGAAAAGTACAGGTATTGTCTAAGTGAGTCTGAGTATCTGATAAAAGAATTACAGAAATAACCAAGAAAACCCAAGGTTGTTGATACTGGGGTATCTAGGTGCCTATTTGAATGGTTTGATTGTACATCAGCTGACTGTGAGAACAGTTGAAGTACGACTCAACTACTGTGCACTTAAAGCACCCGTGTGTAATGTTATAGTCAGCCTTCAGTGAGTGTCATTGAGATAAACTGTGTGCGTCCTGATAGAATCTAATATTCTCTAGGTTATTATCTAAGAAATCAGATTTCATTACAGTTTTGAAATGCTTATCTGTCTGTCAAAGGAAGGTTTTTCATTTCTGTGGAAATCTTAAAACTTGAATATACTGAATTTGTGTCTTAAATGTTTGCTACACAATACAGTATTTTAAATTGAGACGTAATTTTTATGGTTGAGATATGATGAAACAAATGGCCCTATTGTTACAAGAAGCTGGCGAGTTTGATGTGAATCTAGTTTTCAAATCCATTATCCTGAAAAGTAAGTTAACTCTTTATAACATAGAGGTACTGCCATTATGGATGACATCCTTTTTCTTTTTTTTTATTTTTTTATTTTGTTGCGTTTTCCTTAAATTGATTTATCACTATGGTTGCCAAATATAGAAACTGAGAGTCAAACTTTCCCAAACAAGCACAGATCAGATAGATATAAAATACTATACTGGCTTTGTCTGCTTAAATTATTTTGCTGATCATCCTACTTCTTATTTTCTTATCACATTAGCTAAATCAAGTTCATTTTTTTCAAAACAAGTTTTATCAGCTGCCATTCTTTATTTTTAATATTACAAGAACTTGAGATCTCCTTTTGTGCTAAACATGGTCTTTTACGCCTCAGTTACTTATGAAGATACTTGAGAAATACTGGTATGTAAAACAAGCTGGAAAAGAACAGGCGCCAGGAGAGGATAGGCTATCATTAGTAAGGATAGGTAAGTTTAAGTCCATGCTCTAAACAGTCCCATGATAAGGCCAGAATTATATTTGAGATGAGTAATTGGCATTTGCCTTGTACAGCAGAATGCTTTTATGCAGATGTTAAAAGAACCGCTAAAAGAATATTTGTATTCTCTGAAGTTGAGCATAAGGCGAACTCCTCTTGCAGCAGTGCCCTGTTAAGAAACTCCAGTTGTGCATTTATTTGAAGAATACTGTTCCACAAAAGCATTGCAAACATTCTCCGGCTACTGGAATTGGCTATGCCAAAAGTTGTGTGTTTTGCTGCTTTCAGTATTTCCTTTCTCAATTTTGTGTAAATATAAATGGGGACTTGAAATTGGGGGGGGTTGGGGGGTGTGGGGGGGGAGGGGGCAGGGCGGGAGGGTGGAAAAGCTCTACGAGGTATCTATGCGTGCTGTTTTTATGTCTTGAGGGTTTTGGTACAGTTTCAGATTGATTAGTTCAAGTATGCTGTGTTTGGAGAGAACTGACTTGCTTTTCATCCCAGTACAGACTTGTCGTTCAAAAAAGTCTGAGATTGGGTAGTGGCATAATGCCGTGGTGTTTTAAAGAATATTCCTTTTGAATGCAAGATCTTTTCAACAAAATAGTGTTGTCATCAGTTTGGTACTACATGCTTATAATTACTGTGTAATTATAAAGAAATACATAAAACTTTGACTAATTATGTTGCAGGAAAGGGTTATTTTGTGCTATGATGGCATCTTAAAAGTTTTTCAAAACAAGTGACTGAAGTTGAAAGAAACATTGATTTAACAGGGTGTTGTTCTAAGGACAAAATGCCTCGTTACAGAGAATATTTTGCATTGAAATGTGCTCAATGTGGCCATGTGTGGTTTTTTTGTTGGTTTTTTTTTCCTTCTATATTTGTGTGTTTTTTCTTTTTTTTTTAAGAATTCAGCCAGTTACTTACTTGGATTGCTTTAATTCGTTCGTAAGTGCTTATGTCTTCAATTTGATGATCTCCCCTTAAATGAATCACTTTAATTTTGCCAAATGTCAAGGAAAAAAAAAAGCAAACATCATGTTTGTAACCTGGTTTTATACATTAAATATGTACAAAATTAGAAGTGCCCTGATATAAAACACTTAATTACAAGATTATATTTAGTAAAAACCCCATCATTTACATATCTCTGTAAGTTCCAATGTAACTTCTTACAATCCCTCTCATTACCAACAGAGGCAATAAAGCTCCAGTGAAATTGCCATGGTGAAGTCTTCTCATGCATTGTTTCAGTGTATTATTTGTAAGACATTTCTAAAACGTGCTTTTAAGCAGCGGAAAAAAGCAGCATGGCATGCTCTTCTGCATAAAATACACGGTATTGGTAAGCCTTTTTTTTTTTTGTGGGGGGGAGAGGGAGGGTTTCTAAAAACTGCTACAACCCCTTGCCTACTGCTTATTCTAAATGTGTGCAAGTACAAAATGGAGCTGATCTTGTCCAGCCATGCTGCACAGACATCATCTAGCATGTGAAAGAGGACACCACACACAGTGCATATGTTTAAATATGATTGAAGACTACCGTACATAAGTGACTTTTTTTATTGATCCTGTTAATTATTATGACTTAAAACTGTTTTACATTGAAATCCATACTGAGAAATCCTTATTTAAGAAAGATATACTTTTTTAAGAGTGCATTTAATAAAATTTGTCATTCACATTTTATTTAAAAAATGTTGCCAGAAGTCTCTGTAGATTTTATTTGAGTATGATACACTGCCTAAGTTTGGGTTTTAAACCTGTGGTGCCATTCAGGCCTCTGAGCTCTCAAAGAGTAGACTTTCCACTGAATACTTGGTAACCTTATCTGTCAGAAATAGGCCTTAGCTTTGAAACTCTTTGTAGTTGACTGGTTTGGTACCAATATGTAGCAGTATTGGCAGGATTAAAGACTTTGAGCCTGACTGTTCAGACACCTGTAACTCAAACACAAGTCTGGACATTTAAACTGGTACAAAAAATTCTTCCTTCCTCCCTCCCCCAGTCTGGAAGTGCATCCACTAATTGGCTTCAGGTTCTCAATTTAACAAATATCATGAATGTTTTTCATGAAATTACAGCTGTTTTTAAAATTGTGTGTTCAGAACATAAAACTTCAAGCCCTCCCTTCCTTGAAGAGTTCAAAGGACAACTGGCTGGAGCCAGAGTGACAACCCTATAGATAAATAAGGAGCAGGAAGCCTGTGAGGGAGAGAAATGATTGAGCTGTAGATGGGTCGGAGAGGCTGGGTAGCCTTCTGGAGGCTCACTGCCCTGTGCTGTTGGAAGAATGAAGCCTGTGGTATAACTGATCACTAAGTAAACCTGGTGGTTGTCTCCACTGTGACCACTGTGGCCAAGCACAGCTACTGCAGGGATCCCCCCTCCCACCCACACCTTACAAGTGGACTTCTCCAGACAGAGAAGGCAGCAAGCTTGGGGAAGAGGTACCCTCCACGCTCATGTCGGTGCTCTCAAATGGAGCAGCAAGCCTTGCGTTACTCTGGAGTATTTTCTTCTAACAAACACATAATTAAAACAGACTCAGAAGCGAAAGATTTATTTAATAAATATAATTTTCATAAACCATTTTTAAAACAACTTCTACTGACCAAGCTGTACAATGAGCAAGCACACAGACCTGCTGTCAGAGAATCAAAAATAACATGAGGCAGCCACAGTGTCAGGTCCAAAATGCCTTGTACTAATTATTGCTACAGTTTCCAGTTGTCAATGCCCCTTATCTGCCTAAAATTAAGGCTCAACCTCTTTCAAAGGTAATTCCTACAGAGATGATATCATTCAAGTTTTTTTTAATTCAAAAAAGGAAGCAGAATTTGATCACGCTTCAGTGAAAAAAAAAAACAACCCAGGAGTCTAGACACTTTGTTATTTTAGTGTGCATAGGACCTGAAATCTCTCATTACGGTCATGGGACCGTAATTAGGAATTGGGAAAAATCTATTCTTCGTTGCAGTAATGAGGCCTTATTTATACCTGAAAACGGGTCTCATTTTTAACCATTTTCCCCTTCCTAAACTCTATGGACCTTATATCCCATTGCAAAAAGATAAAAAGGTTGAGAACATGCTTGTAATTTCTTTAAAAATGGCTGAGGCAAAATCAATACAAACCACAGGCCATTTAGGTGCACTTCAGGGTTTCTTTCAGACATGTCAAGTCATACTTTGTGTGATAAACAGCAGCACATTTTTTCCCCTGAATGTCAGACGCCGAGGTCTTTAACATTTCGGCCCTGCAGATTTTATTCATGTCTATGCATTTATACTAACTGGAAACAACAACAAAAAAAGTCATATCTACAGTAATGACAATTGTATGTACTTATTGTAATCAACATCATAGTGTGGCAACAGCTAGAGAAAAGGCATGTACTTCAAAGTGGTGAGAACATTCAACAAAAGCCACAGAAGCTTGGGCAGCACACAAGGTCTCTACCAAGCTATTTCTGATGCCCCTATGAGCAGTATTTAGCTGAAGGAAAAAAAAAATAAATCTATGGAAAGCAGAAGCCTTGCAAATATACAGATGCAATTGCGCTTCTGGCAGAGCTGATACAGCCACGAGCATCCCATCTTTCCTCCTCCTGTTATAAATTGAGTCATTCCAATAGAGAGCAGAAACCAGACAAATCATGCCACTGGAAGCAAACGACAGAAGCAAAGAACATACAGAACAACCACCAATAAAAAACATGAGCAGAAAAAAAGTCTAAAATCAGTCCATAATGATGGGTTCACCCAGCTCTAGGCATAATTCTTTTAAAGTAGTGATGGCTGTAAATGGCAGTGCTGGTGGGAATTACTTACTTGGTATTTTATACCAAGAAAACAAGACTCAAATGGTTCAGAAGCATGTTATGATCAAACACTTTTGAACACTGAATTTCACCAAAATCACTAATATTTAGAGTACAGAAGAATCAGATAAAACTATTAAAAATAAGGTAGACTACAGCTCTGAGACATTTCTAACACTAGAAAAATGAGGGGTTTTTTTCAATATAGAAGTTGCACTGTCATAAAAAAAACCTGCTTGAAAGTACTACCAAAGTTTTCCAGTAAGAAATTATAGTTGCCTAATATGCATTCTAAGTTGCATAATCATTCCTCAAATCAGCTTTTGCACTAGAAAACAAGAAATCATTCTGCAAATGTAAAGCCGGTTTTCAGCATTCCTTCATTTGCATTTTTGTTCCCACTCCTCCTCATAACCTTAAAAAATACACAGAATATCTTAAGCATAATAGTTACATTTTAGTTTGTGAAACAATTCAGAGCATCTTCGTACTTCATCTTTTCCACTGCACCTTTTAAAAAAAGCACAAATTTGGCAACTGTGTATACAAACCCAAACCCTATTTTTCACAGAACAAGAACTAAAATATGCCGAGAACTCAGTCCCATTCTGAAGGAGGTGAAGGAGAAGGTGCTTCTGTAAAGACACTGCATAGTAAAGTGACGACACACCATTCTTAAAACATCTACTCCAGGCTTTTCTGCCGTGCATTACAGATTTCGAGGCTAAGAGGTAATTCTAAAACATTTGCTTTCTATGGCAAATTCTTCCTCATCCATTCCTACTGTAAATCAGCGAGATGAATGCTAGTGAATTAGCTGCCTTTTGTTCAGTCTTCTTCATGAAGAATTCTACACTGTACCCAACGCACAGTGAATGGTTTCACACACTTCAGCTGCCACAGAAATACACAAAATCTGTCTTTTTACTAGAAGCAAGTTTAAAAGATTTCTGACATCAGGACAAAACCAGTCACTTCTTGCATCCAAAATATGTCAGACCAAGAAATCTGGTCCTACGCAAACCACTCCTAAGTTCTTACTAAATGAGAAATTATGGATTTAGATTTACTGCAAATAGAAAAATATACCTTGGCAGACAGATGGATTCTTAAGTTCTTCCTGAATTGTTTAAATGCATGTTTCCTCGGTGACCTTACAAACACTGGGAAAAGGAAAAGCAGGGGGAGAGGGAGAAGAGGAGATGGAAGGTTTTAAAGAAACACATAATGAACATAAATTATTCTTCAAATACAGGATGGTGCTTCTTGTGTGCAAATAAAATTAACACACTTGTGTGGTAAAAGCCTAAAGCTTATCTATGTACAGAGCCGAGCCAGTCTCAATGCTTGGAGTGGGGTCATACATCCAAAGCCTCTGCCTTCTACTACATAAAATGGCAGTTTATATTTCAGTACGTGATACACTAACCACACAGAGTGATGAGGTTGCATGGCACACAAATTGAAGGGATGATAAGAATGCTGTGTTTGAGGTGGACAAACAAGTACTTCTGAAACATGGAACACTGATTTCGACATAAAAGATACAGATAAACAGCAGATACCTGATTAGGGTACTTAGAAGAATTATTCCTAGGCACCCATAGCAGTACAAACTTAGAATGAGAAACTAAGAAGAAAATAATTATTTTAAAAACAGATTTAGTATGATATATACAATATATAGTTAATTTATAGGAGAAGGTGAAAGAAATTCAAGTATCTCTCATTACTATTGCTTATGTGGATAAAAGTCCTCTTGGGGACTGGAGAGTTGACAATCAGTTTATAGCCTTTCTGCCTAGGAACCAGGTATCAAAGACTCAATTTTCAGTGAATCTTCATTGTCTGGACATTCAATGTGGGGATCTACTGTACAATTGAAATTCTCAAGCTTAACCTTCACTGCACTTATATATCTGAAGGCATAATACAGATATGAGCTATGAACACCGAACTAAACAGTTATTTAAAAGGAAATTTTGCTATATTTTTTTTTTTTTCTGTTTCATCATTAATTTTTAAGAGCTTTTTAATTTGTGAACTGGTCCGTCTTCATCTATAGCAGTGAGACAAAAACTTCAGGTACTGCACATTCAAATCACTACAAGTTTCAAAACAAGGCTGCAGTAACAATTTCCATACATTGCCTTGAACAATGGGATCTTGAAAATCCAGCAGCACCTGCAGCCATCACTTCAGAGTGAAGCTTCCAGTTGTTGAAACTTATTTTTGAATTAAGAGAACTGGAATAATACCAGTTAAATCATGAATAAGAATTAAGGAATAGCAGAACTGTTTACAGGTAAGGAACATCCAAAACATTCGATACAAAGAAAGTAAATACCTCTTGAACACTTCCTCTCCTGCAGCTCACTGAAGTCAGGAGGATTTGGGACGGCCATAATAAGAGGGATACACTCCTCTGGCAGCAGGCCAGGGCCCACTGAGATGTCATACCAGGAGGATATGATGTGGCTGCCTGAATTACGAAATAAAGAGTATTTGCCATGTAATTTGCTTGGGGGACAGTACTTAAGCCAAAAGTGGAAACTTGTGGAGGCAGGGTGAAAGCAGCTAGTACTGGTTTTGTTCAAATCCTATGCTTAACCACATCTTTATTAAAGAAGTTCTTGTAGGTATTTGCAGTCTGTCTTTGATTTGTAGCTAATGCCACCCAGAGATAATCCTAATACGCAGCTTTACATGTTTTACTCTCCGATAGTATGATTCTGCCAATTACTGATGGGACTTCAGTGTCAAAGACTGATTTGAAATGCAGGTGCTGCCCCCAGGGACATGCCTTAGGTACAGCAGATTTTATGGCTAGAGGCTGGTAAAAATACTGCTGCTTCTGGGCTAACATTTGGATATCTACTTTATCTCCCACATATGCAGACAACCATAGGTTTAGTCATCCCAGCTGGGCAAACAGGTGAATGTTGCTACCCAGCCCCAAGCATGCACATTTATACTGGGACAACAGGTGTATGTCTAAGATGTACCATGCCAAGCTCCATCTGTGCAATTTGTTTTTATTGGAATACTTAGGTATCAAAACATAGCCATCAATGTCTCAGACTCTTCAGATATATGAAGATAATTAAGCATTAACTGTATCTTCAAAGTACAATACGACCGAATATAAACACATGAAAAAGAACAAAACATGCAAAAAAACCCCAACTTTAAAAGGGTTAATAATTCAAAGTACTTCTGCACAATCCACTGATCCTTACATACTTTTTTCCCCATGTAAGGATCAAGAATTGTTAACAAAACACACAGGGCATAAGAAGATGACTGGCTTCAGAATTATACTTTAAGAAAACATTTACCTGTTATATCCCTTATTATTCC